GTATTCATTTATAGAGGGATGACGTCAACGTTTTCTATTACTCAAACAAGGCAATTCGTCGGGCAGATGAATTATTTTCGGCACGACCTCGGTGTGCCAAATTACTCGGAGTAACATGTACTACGTAGTATTAATACTATTAATAGTACTAGGTATTATAAATGGGCATATGGCTAATTATATCGGGCACACCACCAAATATACTATATATCGGGCGTTCGTCCAACTTACAGTTGTACCAGTAGTATCTTAGAGCATCCCCATCGGTGCGACTGTAAACGCTATTTTACAGTTCTATCCGGATTATTTACAGTTTTGACAACCCCACCGGGCGACTGTAATAGTAGTATACAGGAAACTGTAAAATTTTACCGCGAGACGGTAAATCGGCCAGATTTACAGTCGCGACTGTAAAATACAGTTTTGACGAATTAGCCAATAACATGCTATCAATGGATAATTTTGTCCAATCATGTGCGTTATGGAGTCAACAATCAGTTGGTTCAGAAATGGAATCAGCCAAGGCCTCCAACTTCACGACCGACGAAGACTGCCAGCTTGTCATGGATCAACATCTCTCAAAATGCGTCCAAGGGTTGGTAGTACTCATCACGCATCATCACACCGTCCATGATTCGTTCAAACAGCGGTCCAGCCATTCGAAAACGACGGCGAAGCCGAGTTTCGAGAAATGCCGTCGACACACACAAACTACTATAGTATATCGGCCATTCCTTGGCCAAAACCGCTCATTCTTGGACTGCACGAACGTAGGCATGTTGGTCTGTCGCTATGTATGTGGGACTGGTACCACCGTCACTTCACACATCCCAAATAAGTGCAATCGCCGCGCACGACATCTCGTGTAGCCCGGAACCTGTAGCCCGGAACCATGCCTTCAGTTTTCATATGAAATGTATCACTTGATGCTATATTTCGACGTAATTTTTTCAAATTATGAAATACTTCTATATTAAAAATACGTATCGCTATTCTCATGGAATGTACTACGTAGTAGTGGATATGTTTCCAAAGAGCATCGTAACTGGTGGCCAAAATTTGAAGTCCATACGTATACGTTTTCAACAGAGAATCGAATACAAAGTCAACTTGCATCAAAACTCGTCTCCTTCGTCGGTAGACATATACATTTATCCTCGCTTATAATAGGAAAAGGAGAATGATCAATTTGAACTTCATTAGCCTTTTTATACGAGTACAGTAGAAGATGGAGGAAATAATGCTTGGTTTATTACATGAAGCATCATAACATACAGTACATTAAGCAGATTATTGACACCAAAGACTCTGACGCATTGCTTAAGGGCCACTCACGGCCAATACGAGGTTCGAAAAAGCAGCGGCAAGGCAGCCCAACGCAACTGCGTGGCGTTCGCTAGAGGACGAATTGGCTGCAACGGGTAGAGGGGATGTTGGCTTCTTTGGACGACGCATTCGTCGCCGAAGGCGCGGCGGTACTGTACATCAAGACAACTACAATCTCGGCGACGAGTATATTGATACCGCTTACGCTTTGGGCGCTGTCTTCGTATGGAAGTGATAATACTATTGTCCTTTTCACCTAATTTGGACAGGGTAGTTTATTAGAGAAATCGACTTGAAGCACATTTTAATACCGTGAAATGTATACTGTACAAAAATTATATATAAAATGTTTGTCCGGGACAA